AAAAAAACAAAAAAAAAACCTCCAAATTACTCAGCAGCCTGAAGCCAAAGCAACAAATCCCACAGAAAGAAACCCATAAAGGATGCAGTGCTGACAGCCAGTTCTTCACCAAAGAACATTCTTGAGAAAATCACAGATTCATGACTGCTATGCTTCACTAAAGGCTTCTTAAAGAAAAAAAACTCATCCAAAATTGACAACTCTGTGACTGTTGTATGAAAGCAAACAACATGAATATTTTTGAAAATTCCTTTTTAGAGTGTTTATTGTTCCCAGATGTTTGATTTTTAGGTGAGAAATTCCTTCAAATACTTGATCCGCAGCCACTTTTTACTAGAAGCAAATCTCAAATCCCCTTCTCGATCCCCCAAACTACTAACATCAGTCTCCAGCCCTCAGCTCTCCTTCCCAAGCGACTTCCATCTTTCAGACTGCCTGCTGAGCTGAGAACTGGGAAAATGAGCAGAGCTTCGACTGCACCAAGACATCAGAGTGAAGTGAGAGAAAAACAGACAGACAATTTTGTATTCTTGAGACGCCGCGCAAAATGTGCCTCTGATATTTCAAACAACAAAATCTTAAAAACAGACACAATGCAATATTTCCCGCCCCCTGAGAAATCAAAGCTTTGCTGAAATACTTCTTCTAAATTAAGAGCTTTATTTAGATCCTCAAGGACAAGCACGGTTGTTGTCATCGTGTTCGTCCCACTGAGACGACACAAACATTGAGTACAGCTCTGTAAACATTATCATACCCTCATAAAAATTCTACACAGGTTATGATGGCTTTAAAGAAGAAAGGAGAAGCAAAGGCATCTGAGTAAAGAGCATGGAGGAAAGAGCCTCTAGGGGCTGAAGACCTGTGCTTTAGGGAAAGAAAAAAGGAGACAGAAGACAAATGGAAAACGGGAGAAAGCTGCAGGATGGTTTGTGAGTTCTTCTATTTTGATATTCAAGCTGAAATTTTGTGACATTTGTGAAACCATAGTGATTAATATTAGCATGTCTCTTAAACACTCCTTGTTATTGTTTCCTGTGGTATGTGGATATTAGAGATGGGTGTGGTTATGTGGAATGGGTGTGGCTAATCAAAATAAGGAATAGGCTTGATTGTCAAATGTAATGTTGAGAATTGATGTAGGCATGGTTAAACATGAGTTAAGTGGGTGTGGCCTAACAAGGTTTGGGCGAAGAATTGATTAAGTGCATTCGACTTGAACATCGAGGTTAGTTAAGCGAAAACGGAAGTGGCATTGAAAACAGAGGTGGACACTTAGGTACTCTCTCATAGCTTGTAGCAGTCTTGGCAGATCACATGGCTTGATCAAAGTTTTGTTTTTCTGTTTTTATGTTTTTATTTATTTATTTATTATTATTTTTTTTACATATATTTTGCAATAAAAACTAAAAAAGTATACACTGATAAAACAGTGAATAGTGAATTGAAGTCTTTTCAAGCCGCAAAGAGATGACTTCTTTTTACTACACATTGAAATGTATTTGCATACACTTCCAGTTCTTGTTTGAAGATGCCAAAAGGGTTTATATTTACTATATTTAGATTTATACACATACAACTGTGCATTAACCCTGGAACTACCAGAATTCTATAACTACTAGAATTACTATAGCAGTCATTCTGATGTCATATTGTAATGTCATATTTACATTCAAAGCTTCTATAGAAATATTAAAAATGGCTGTGAATGTCTGTTATAATTTTTTTTTGAATATTTAAGTCATCACCCTAAAAGTACAATCTTTTTGGTAATACAGCCAATGAATGTATATGTAAGGTCACATTAGGATGTCCGTGCCTTGCTTTTATTTTCACTTTCGCCAACTGAAAGTAATTTTTTTGTTAGCATGAAGTTGCTAGGCAACAGATGTGCGCATATTTAAAGTCACAAGGAAAATGAGCTGACAGTGAATGGTAGCAAAGTGCTTAGAATGACCAAGAGGCGACACTCAATAGAATGTTCCATTGCAATAGCAGCAACAGCTCCGGATTCCGCCGTTTTAGAGTGAAAGTGATCGGCTGTTCATTGGATATTATTACTGTTGCGATGGCAAGTAGCTGCTTTGTTTTTTTATTTATTTATTTAAAAAGCGCATTAGAGCTGAGATACAACCTGAAAAATGCCAATACAACTCTTACTATCGCAATCATCAGCACTTTTAATAATTTATTTTACAGACTTATAATATGCTGCTGTTCTATAGGAATTTTTATTCCAAAATGGCAGCCATCTAGTGGCTGTTTCTCAAATCGCACTAGAGTGTTGCCTGTTGGTGATTCTATGCTCCTTGATGGTAGTTCTTGGTAGAAATTATCTGATTTTTTGTGTGTTTGTTTTGTAATTTGAATAAAATAACAATGTTAAAAATAAATATACCCATTTTTAGTAAAAATCAGGGAATGCAAAAAATTGCAAAAATTATAAACTCTAAAACAACCGCCTCAGTAGTTATAGTATTAAATAACATGAGAACATGAGGGTTTTTTATTTACTGTATAAGCCCTAAACAATGCAACCCAGGCTCATTATGAAAATGTAACTCTATATACATTTCGGGAGGCCACGAAATACATCCAGGGGGTATGTTTTTTTTTAAAGGGTCACGAAACACCAAAACACATTTTTTGAGCTGTTGACAGTCATATATGTGTCCCACACTGCTAAAAGCACTATTAGGACACTTATATTTCACTAAAAAGTGTAAATTGGTTGTTTTTGCGTTATTTCAAGCAAATTCGTACTTCCTGTTTGAAACGAATTTTTGAAGCTGCGTCACGGTCATGACATAATAGCGTGTATTCCAGCGTGCAGACTGGGCGTCTGTGCCAGAGTGTGTCTTATTACATCTTACAGTGTGATACATTAATGCATGAGTAAGGCTTGGTTCAAACCAATCAGCGTGCTCTACTGTGCAACTTCATTAATATTCATTTGTGTCACCGTCTTTACACCACAAAGACGCCACGTTGTGTTGGCAAAACAAGCGTGAAGTGTTGCTTTTATAGTTTGCTGCAGTTAAGTTTCGTTTTCATTTTCTCTCTGTGAGAGCTTATCTGGATCACGTCTGGATTAACAGTGTACGCGACCCTCGACAACAATAACTTACGTGTCTAAGGAGGATTATTGTTTACCTGAGAGCTGTTCTCATCTGCAAACGCTGAAATCTGGATTTGCTTGTAGTATTCTCTCCATAAAGACGCGGCTCTATTTGCTGGTGATTGTCCTGTCTCTACAGATTTGGTAAGTGAGCGACCAGTGCTCTTTGTTTATTCAGTTTGTTCGTATCGAATTAAGTTAACTATTGCACTGAGTGCAGAAATGTTAGCACCGCATTTTGTGACCGGAATAACACACGCGGCTTTCTGACGCTACCTGCCGTGTGCATCTAAGTTTCCGGGAAATGCGGAGTTTTTTTTTCTCTCATTCGCCGTGCGGTATCAAACATTGCATGAAAAATACACGCTTAGAGCAGATCCTCGAATCAAATATCTCGTTTGTCGCGAGGGGCATGAATGAATTCCCTGAATGAAAGAGCCAAACTGCAGTTAAAGTCCAACATTTAATAATTTGGCAAATAATTCGACTACAGATGTCCATGTAGGTTAAACACTTCTCCTGTCTGTGTGGGTGTGTATTTTGACTCTGAAACTCGCGCGTGCACAAATAGACACTCCCACACCATCCCACTTTAGTTCCTCTGACACTCCCCCCTAAACAGAGCTGGACACGCCCACTTTTCTGACTTTTTCCAAAGTAGAGGTGTGAAAACACCCTGCTGAAACGAGGGGGTTTCATGGCCCTTTAAAGTTTTTGTTTTCGTGAATCCACAAGAGGCCGCTGTGTACGCCTTTTCAGATCTCAAATTTCTCGTGCGACTGCCATTCGCACCTGCTGTTCTTGCGTAAATCCACCAGAGGCCGCTGTTGACTGACTGTTTGACTGATTGCATGACTGACCTACTGACCAATCGACTGACCCACCCTCCTCCTTCCCTGAACCCAACCAATTTTATTGATTGACTCGCCCACCCACTTCCCTAAACCCAACCAACAATTTTCAAAAGCAATTCATAAGAAGAAAAGCCATCTGATTCAGATTTTACCACATTCTCACCCTGTTATTTACTTCTTTATAATTTTTTTGTATTCTTTTTTTGTCTTACCTGCCTTCTGGAATCGTTCTTCACCAAACTCGAACTCCATCATCGTGGTCAACTCCTCTCTGCGTCTCAAGTCTGCCGACGCACATGGCAAGCTAACGTAACAAACTGGTTACAGCAGGAAAGCTGTCCTTAAGCAGGTAAGCGGTCAGCTGGTAAGCGCGAAAAGGAATGGCATCATACCGCGCCATAGCGTTTGTTTAAAAAATTAAATGCAGCCATACGTACTTCTGGCTACATAACTCGCGGTCTCCAGAAATGTATATAGGGCTACATTTTCAGAATGAGCCTATGTTGCAACAATGTGTCTAAAATATAAAAATAAAATATCTAAATATGTTGTGCAGCAGAATACAGAAAAAAATTCTGATCTGTGCAGTAGACGAAGATGAAGTGCCAATCACGGATGTGGATACTGTTAAGTATAAATTGGTGTTTACTCTGATGTCAATGTCATGAGTGAATGAGACTAAATTAAGTAGGTGTGACCAATTATGGATGTGGTTATGAAAGGGTGCCATTATCAGAGGTGGTGAGTGTGGCCAACAATAATTCTGTTGGCCTGAAATACAAATAGGTTCATTTATAAAAGCATATAAGGTTGTCTGTGGTAGGTGTGGTCATAATAAGTAGATTTCACCAATCAATGGTGTGTCTAAAAGGTAGAAGGTTTTATTAAAGTCGGTGGGTGTGGTCAATCGTGCGTGTGGCTAGCGGAAGAGTAATATTTGCATGTTCTTGAATGGGTGTGGCTATTTTAAGGCGTTCAAATACGTGTGATGATCTGAAGTGGGTGTGGTCATGGATGGTTGTGATTACCTGAAGTTGGTGACTTGCTCCTCTCTAGGTCCAAAGACACCTGATTATCAGAAAGCTCCGTAAGGCCTGCCATGGAGGAACATATAAGGCACAGTAAGAGGAAGCAGTTCACTATAATCACTGGGTTCCACTGTCATCAAACACATCTGCATGCATCAAACCACCACAACGAACAATGTGGTTTGAGACACCATCATGATCCTGGAGCGATACAAGGAAGATATTTATACATCTTCGTATAATGATATTTAAATGATAAGCTTATATATGCACACCATGATGTAGTTGTTCTACTTTGATGTGAACCACTGACATAAGATTAATACCTCCAGAATCAAACATGTGCACCAAAACCACCAACAATTTCATGCATGTGTGTGTGTTTGTGTGCAAGAGAAAGATGTTACTGAAGGCACAGCGCGGAAAAAACATGGTAAGGCCTGCACTGCAGCAATATCAATTTCATTAAATAGTCAAATTTTTTTGTATTTCAAATGCAGTGAAAGCCTCATCTTCACAAATAAGACAAAATCCATTGGCAGAGTATGCTTTATATACTGAATCTTTGAGCCATTCAGTTCATTTGAAACATGTCAGTTTTAAAAGAAGTGTTTTGAATTCTTAAGTCACTTACAATGTTTCAATGTTTTTATAATATCTTTTAAGCGAATATGACATTATTAATGTTTTTAAAAATAAATATTCTTCCACAGTTCTTTTTTAGTGTTTTTGTCATTATGCATGATTTATTTATTAATAGTGACTTTTATACAGGGTGAGAATTGGTTCATTACACAAACCTCTGGCACAAATCAATAAAACACTTAGCAAGGAGACAATCAAAGATTGTGACTGTATGTTTGGATGTGTGCAGTCTAAATTACTCTGGATAATAATTCTATTTTATACTGAATATGTGATGGTATGGTAATTTCATCTTTGCTAAACTTCGACAAAGCAAATAATATTTTGATGACATGCCATTGTCTTTGCTTTGCCTCCTTGCTGCTGTGCTGCCCCCATTGGTGTTTCACTGGAGACGTGACTTACTCTGGTAGGAAGTACGGATCCGTTTCTTTGAATCTGAATAAAAGTTAGACAGGCCGCGCATGCAAAAGTCTGCAACAGCGCCCCCATGCCCCAGCACCGCCACCCACCAGAGGAGAGATGGAGCGAGGGAGGAAAAGAGGAGGAGAGAAGAACAAAACAGGCTCAGAGTGACAAATCCGCGTGTGACCGCAATCCAGGCAAGACCCAGTGTGTTGAAGAAGAAAGTGAAGGAATGAAAGTAGAAAAATGACGCCTAACCTCTTGTGTTTTCTTATTTCTTCCAGAAAACAACAACAAACAAGGCAGAAAACAGAGCTAAAGAGAATGAAAATAATAACTTTTGGGGGATTAGGAATCACTGTCAAGAGTGGCACTGAATGCGTACAAACAAATAAATCAACAAAACAAACAGAAATATTAACATAAATCAATCTGGTTCCTCTCATTTCAAATGTAAATTAGTAGGTGTATTTATATGTATGAGTATAAGGAATGGATTAATTTCGGAGATGATGCCCTGGCTAAATTAAATAGATCTGACAGCAGACAGATTTTATGAGGTCATTGGCAGTCACTACAATTATAAGGTTTAGTAAGACAGTATTGTATCAAGCCAGACTGACATTCTGTGACTTATTTTAAGATATATTATTATTATTATTATTATCATTATTGATTCATTTTAATTTCAGTGTAGTCCCTTTATTAATCTGGGGTCGCCACAGCAGAATCAGCCAGCAACTTATCCACCATATGTTTTATGCCGCGGATGCCCTTCACGCCGCAACCCATCACTGATTATTATTATGATATTTTTAAAAAATTATGATTTATGATGATTATTATTATTAATACTATTTATATTATCATTATATATTTTTAATTGTATTTATTATTAATATTGTTACTATTCTGTATGTATTTTAAATTGTATATATTATTATTATGGGGGACGTTGGTGCGGTAGGTAGTGTTGTCGCCTTACAGCAAGAAGGTCGCTGGTTCGAGGGTAGGCTGGGTCAGTTGCCATTTTTGTGTTTACATGTTCTCCCTGTGTTCCCGTGGGTTTTCTCTGGGTGCCTCTGTTCCCCCGACAAGTCCGAAGACATGTGGTATAGGTGAATTGGGTAAGTAATTATACATAGTGTATGTGTGATGTGAATGAGAGTGTTTGGGTGTTTCCCAATGATGGGCTGCAGCTGGAAAGGCATTCGAGGCATGAAACATATGCTGGATAAGTGGGTGGTTTATTCCGCTGTGGCGACCCCAGAATAATAAAGGAATTAAGCCGAAAAGAAAATTAATAAATATTATTATTATTATATACTTTTTCAATTTATTATATATATATATATATATATATATATATATATATATATATATATATATATATATATATATATATATTATCATCATTATTATATGTAAACATTTCATATTTTGAATGAGTATATTTTACAATAATAATCAAAAACATTTACAAATAATAATAAAAACATTTAAAAATTTTAAATGACTGGATGTGCAGTACTTTAAATGTATTTCTGAAGTTTCTCTAAATTTAAATATAATATGCAATAATAAAAAAATTATAATACAAACATTCTAACAAGTGGATTAAGACTTTTGGATCTCTTTCGGATAAAACTAAATAGACTAAACAACAAATAATAGAATGAAACCTAATATAAGGAAAATCAATTAAGGAATGAAATCTGAGGGGGACTTTTGTCCTTTCAGGCTCTCAGAAGAGAACACTAAAAGAGCGCACAAAACGTCTATACATACACACTGGCCTGAGTGTGTGGGTGAGCGTCAAGACGTCCTCTTTTTTCAAGAGCTTACATAAGCTACGGATCAAAATCACTCTTCGACCGCACTGAACGACCTTTCTGCCCACCTCTGCATCTCCATGTCGGCTCAAAGCCTCTCAGTTTCTAAAGATACGGCTGCCTGAACAAGAGCATGGAGAGCGACTGCTTTGAAGTGAGGAGCCAGCATGGCCGCCTCCCCGCAGCTTCCTTTTGAAGGAGCGCTATGAAAACAGATCTTCATCTCCAGCTCTCACTTATGACATCTCCTTTCTGTGGATGGCCCGTGTTAGCGTGTGTGTGTGTGTGTGAGAGAGCAGTTGGGGTAGGAGGATAGAGGAGGGCAGGTAGATCTGGATTAGTAACAGGGAGTCCGTATGGCAGGTTACGCTGTGTTCTCTGTTAGGTGTCGTGCTCAGGCAAAGACCAACAGCAACAGAGATATGACAGACGACATGCAGAGAAGGCAACCATGAATGCAGTCTGTCCCATGCAGTTAGAGAGGGACTGTGTGTGTGTTTGTGTGTTTAACAGAAAATAGACAGAATATTTACAGGCAAGGACAGACGTTTGACAGCTTGTGATTCACAAAGTTTGTTGCTTATAGCTAAAATGCTAAGCATGTTTGCAGATGCATGCCAGTGATGTTTGTGTTAGCTATCTTACTGCTTCGTTACAGGGAGAACATTGCATGTGAACATGTGTGAGCTTCATTGTGCGTGTGTACCTGATGTGGACTGCCGGTTTTTGCGAGGAGAGCGTGTTAGTCTCTGGAAAGGGTCGGCAGATCCGTATAGCTCAAGGGTGCTCATACACAGCAGAATGGTTTTCTGCAGGTAGTCCACAACTGCCAAGCCATTGCAATTACCTAGAGCCAGCCTGTGGAAACAAAAACACACACACACACAGTGATCACACTCATCTATGTTTCACAAAGTGTCAGTTATACAAGACTTTATTATAGCCTATACCTGGCAAGAGCAGTCTTCACAAGAACACAAGTATATTCTCTGCATTTTTAGAATTGAGAAACAGCCCATATCAATAAATAAAAGTCATTAAAATTTGTTCACCCAAAAATTAAAATTTACTCTCCCTTGTGTGGTTCCAAACTGGTTTGACTTTCTTTCGTTAAACACAGAATAAGATATTTGGGAAAAAAGCTGGAAGTCCATAACCATTGACTTTCATACTATATGTTTTCCTACTATAGAAGGACTATAGGACTATAGGTTTCCAGCTTTCTTCTAAATATCTTCTTTGATGTTCCACAAAACTTGAGGGTGAGTAAACAGTAAAAACATTTTCATTGTTTGGGTGAGCCTAAATGAAATTAAGTGTGCTGGTACATTTAATCAACTAGAGTGAATTTGTCTTTTAATAATGCTTTAGTGATTAAAGTTTCTTGTGGTTGTGAGAGGATTAAAACATGATGACAGCAACTAAAAGAGGATTTTGAGAAATTATGATTTCACATATTTAATCAAAACTCTCAAATACCACATGAGCTGAAGTATTAACAATTACACACAAGAAGTTTGGATGATGGCAAAATCAATTACATTATACATTGTGGGGCTGATATTGTCAAAACTCTCAATTTTAGAGACCACAGAATGCTGTTTGATAACCATACTCATATAATATTACACTTCAGTGGTATTGCCATGATACAGTTGAATGGTAATACCATAGTAATTATTAACAGGGACAATTAGAAGAAAGAATAGCTCTTTCTATTGGATAAAAGAAATTAATGACATAAAAGAGGATAAGCCACTTACAGTCCATAGGCAGAATTTAAATCCAGGCAGGTGATTTGTTGTGGTGGCTCTCCGTCAACCCATAATAACTGAACCACCAGCTCCGCCTGGTATCCAGGAGGCATTCGGATCATGCGATCTTTAACCCTTAAAAAGTAAGCATTCAAATTCAGTTTTACAGTAGAATTTTATTATTTTACTTTGATTTATTCTACTGCTGTCTCCATTGTATCATCCAGTATCATCTAATCTAATTTTGAAGGCAGCACCTTTGCAGAGGTCATATTTGTAATCCATGTTTGTCATTAAGGATGCCTTTTTTAAAGAAAAATATCCATAACAAAAAAAATTACAGTAATTTCTTTCGTACATTGTTGTGTAATTGTTTATTTTCTTAAATGAGACAAACATATGCAGCTGAGAAATGCAACCTCCAGAGGGCATGACTTTTGAAATAAGACAATAAATTCCTACACAGTAACAATTTTGGTCACACTTTATTTTAAGGTACAATTCTCGCTTTTAATAAACCATTAACAACATTTTTGTTCAATGAACTCACTATTTGCTGCTCATTAGTAGTTATTAAGGTAGATTTAGGCATTGAGAAGGATTAGGGACGTAGAATAAGATCATGCAAAATATGTACTTTAATAAACAGTCAATATCTTAATAATAGGCAGGTAATTAACCAGTAGGTAATAGTGAGAATTAGTCCCTGCATGTGATTATTTTAAGGTAAAATTCTTGCTTTTAATGAACCAATACCTACATGTTTGCTCAATAAACTCACAATTTGTACTAAAGAGCAGATTTTTATATTGTTGCGTAAATGTGATGTAATAACAAAATTCAAAGTCTGACTTGACACAACATGCACACTTTGCAATCATAAAATATGAGCATTTAAGTGCGATCTTACTTGTGATATTTGTCATACAACAGTTATAAATCAGTTATACAGTATTTCAGATACAATATGATCTGTTTTTATTTTAATAAAAATAGTTTTACTGACTTGAGGCAAGGGATGCTGTCCCGTACACTGTCTGGTGTATTGCTGCGGGGACTTGGAGGCTGAGGTTGAGGTGAGTGACCACTGGGGTCGGAAAAACATGGAGTGTTTTCTGTATCTGATGGTGAAATGACGTCCTCCATCTCACACTGCAGCCGCAACTCTAGAGACTTTAATAGATTACAAGCACAAATACAACAGAAAGGCCATCAAAATAACAGCATGTACTAAACCCCTGAACAGGGTAATATGTATAAATAATGTCAAAATCAGAGATTATTATGTCAGCAGATCAAGTGAAAACTGATCAGAAAGTGTTGTGCTCTGTGTTGGCATAAAAGGAAAGATGTATAATAGAATAACATAAGAAGCGTGAGCTGACGTTACTGAATACGTATGTTGTGTGTATTGTGTGTATGCGTAGGTATATATTTTTAAAATGAGATACAGTTAAGTAAATATCACAACATGCTATTCCCAAATTTAAGCATTTATGTCCAATCTCAATTGTGATATTTGTCCTGCAACCATTACATATCAAACAACAATTTAAAATTGAGTGAGTTATATTTCAGATAAAATATGATCTGTATAAAATCAAATGCTGAATTTAAACTCCTGAATCAATATTGGAGTTACTTTTGCACGCTGTAGGTAGGATGACACCATGGCTGAAGTATTTCTGTTGGACAGGTATTGTTATGTCTTAAAACTATTTTAGTCTCCGAAAGCTGATGTAGATTGTGTTGTGCTATGAATGGGTTATATACATAGAAGTGTTGTTCAGCCACTGAAATCTTCTGGTGAAAGATTGATGTGACTATTTTCAGTTTTATTAGGGAACTTTTATAGCATCAATAATGTAGGTTTTTACAAACAAAACATCAGTAACAAAGGAGGTCAAAAACATCAAACATTAGTAAATAGCGGTATTCCACCTAGCCTGCTTTACTGAGCTGAAGTTGGTTTTATATTCACATTGGTTCATTTTCGAACAATGACAGCCTGTGACGTGCTTCCTATATTGTTTTCCGTGCTACTCTTAATATTCGCTCTGAAATAGCATGTAAGTGTGGCTTAGTAATGAGTGTTATTTCTGCATGCCATCGGCCAACCACTAACCACTATAACATTTCTGGCGAATGACATGAACGAGTGGGTTGTCTGCTGTTATGTCGCCGTGCGCGCATTTGCGAATTCAGCAGGCGTGGCTTTGAAACGCAGTCTCTCCCTTGCTGTCCAAAGATAATATGCTAACCAGTTAGCATTTTGGGAGATCACCTACTACACCTTTAATTTCAAACAAAGCTGGGGGAACATCACAAAGTAACACTGTGGCTTTTCATTCCTGACTGAATCTGGGATTTGCAACTAATAAAATGAGCCAATGAGCCTTATTTGTTTGGGGGCTCATCCCAGATGAAACGATCCTCAAAGGACACTAAAATATCTTAAATTGAGCTGAAAAGTTAAAACTGGTTGTTTGGTTATCTTTACAATTGAATTGGTGGAAAACAAAATTCATTCATTCATTTGTATCGCGTCAGCATAGTTTGAGTTAGTATTTCAGGATTGGTAATGTAGTATTTTTGCTTGGTGGTTCATTATGGAAGCCTTCAGTTTAATCAACTGTTTTGAATGAATCATTTGAATTATTATTCAAGTCAGATTTCTTTAAGACAGAGACTTACTACCACCTACGGTTAAGTCTAAACTAGCTAAGGTATCAGCACAAAAAACAGGCTTAGTTATTATCGTTTAAAAAAAATACCAAAAATACAGATATATATAGAGACGTATGGCACATTCTACCAGAAACATGTGACAAATCCTGACCTTTAAGCCTGTTCTCCTTTAAGAAATCATACAAAAACAAGCATAAAATCATATAATTCAATGATGATCTGATGAGTTATAGCCTTAAATGTAGATTGCACGCAGTTTATGTCACATTTCAGACAGAAACATGGGGACAATTGTAAAGTAGTATTTGTTTGTGGAATTTATTTATAATAAACGATAACAACTTAAACTACTGCTATTGTATGTCTGAAGTTTTTTTTTTTTTATAACAGTTTTTAGCATAACAAAACTATTAAAGCTGTAGGTTCAATTGGGCTGAGGACAGAGCTAATGAAAGGGTTAGTAAGTTTGTAATGCTTTTTAATAAAGAACAACAATCTGAGAACCTAACTAATGACATATTACTTTACAGAACAACTCACAGAAATCAGCCATCAGTCCGAATTAGAATAGTTTTTTGATGAAATACTTTTTATTCAATGTATTTAAGTTTTCATTTCAAGGACAGATAATGCACCTTTCTGATAGAATGTCCCCCATGTTAAAAGTGACATTCTTTCTAACTTTTTCACACAAATGTTTGGTTGTTTCAACTTCAAATTAAATTCAGGTAAAATATGTAAAAACCTAACGGTTGGGTTAATAGTTGAAATAAATATTTTTTAAACCCAACGGTTGGTGCATATCTTAACTCAAATTTCTGTTGAAAACAACCTATTCTTTATTTTAGCTAAACAAAAAAAAGACACTTGTTTGCTCCGCTCACCGTAATGATGGTATTGGCGTCATGCTTGCTGAAGCGGTACAGGATGACATGTGCACTGATGCCGACGACACAAAAGATACGGCTCTGCGGGCACCAGCTGATCATCTGAACGGCGTAGGGATCTTCCTCCACAAGATCAGCACTACGTCCCATATCGCCAGTCTTAGGCTTCTCAAACACCTTTGACGTCTTCAGCTTATACAGCATCTGAAGTGTGACTGACAGAGATGGAGATTATCACCTCATTACATTTTATTAGTGAATGTGATGCACAGGATGTTAAAATGGAAACAATGTTTTAAAGGAAACATTCAATGTCAAGTGCAAATTCATCAGCAGCATTTAAAGGTGACATTGTGATACAGTAATTACTACACACATTAGTGTCTCCAATTTGTGTCATCATTTATGATTATCTTTCTGTTGCAAAATGCAAAAGACATTCTAAAAATGCTTCAGTTCCATTTGAATTTCTTTATATCGTAAAAATAAAATGGGAACAGAAATGGTTTGGTACCAATGGTTCTTCTACATGTTTATTCCTTCATTTATTTTTTTACTTCGGCTTAGTCCTTAATTTATCACAGCGGAAGGAACCACATATTACTCTGGCATATGCCCTTCCAGCCACAACACAGTACTGGGAGTTCTACATATTCTATAGCAAAAACAAAAATGTCAAACAGAATTAGGCAACAAAATGAGAGTGCTTTGTTGGTTGAATGACTGTAGGTTCAATTTTCTGCTACAAACTCAATTTCAACTGATCCTTCCTTTCCCAACTGGTGGATTTTGGTCATTTGGTTACATATTCAACAATTACCTGTAACCCAGAACACCCTTTTTTTAGTGGTTTCAGGTAAACGTCATATATTGGCACCAGAAAAGAGTTCAAATTATCAAGGCGAAATCAAACGAACCAGAGTACACACAAAGTGCTAGAGTAAAAGAGCTCTAAAGTCTGGGACACACCAGCGCAATAGTCAGCCATTGGGCAGCGTACATACAGTCAGGGCCATAAATATTTGGACATCAACACAATTCCTAAATGTTTGGCTCTATACACCAACACACAAACAATATCCAAACATTAAAAAATGAAAGCTTGATTTATGATTATCATTCTGTCTCATTACTTTTGGTCCCTTAACAAGCGGGAGGCACATATGCAAAGTTATAGTTCCTACAACGTTAACCTGATTTGGATGTAAATACCCTCAACTTAAAGCTGACAATCTGCAGTTAAAGCATGCCTAGTTTGTTTAATTTCAAATCCATTGTATAGTGTATAGAGCCAAAATGTTAGAAATATGTAGATGTCCCAATATTTAATGACCTGACTGTGTTTGTGTTTGTGTGTGTGTGCGTAAATTACACCCTAAATGCATTCTGCTGCGCTTAACTTGCACTGAACCAGGAATATTTATTATTTGCAGTTGTTATTTGATCATTGGATGTTCATTTTGGTCATTTACTTTGCATTTACATTAATTAATTTAGCAGACACTTTAATCCAAAGTGACTTACAAATGAGTAACACAGCACAATCCCCATAAAGAAGTAAATAATCACGAGAAGAACCATTATTACAAAGCTGCAGACGTTGTTTAGAAAAAAAAAAAATACATATGAAGGAGAACTTTAGAAAAACAGAAAAAGTAGAGAGTTTTTTTTTTAAGCAAGACATATTTTGCTTTGAATTATACAAATGAAAAATCCTATGGCAAAGCATCAATAGATAATATTCATCTGAAATGAAGCAGCGATGAGAAAGTGTGGGATGGAAACAGCATGAGGCTGAAAGAGAAGCACAAGCTCTTCAAAGCTAAGACACTTACTCGCTGTGGCATCCCAAAACTTTATCGATCCGTCTGCATGTCTGTGGGGGACAACAAAAAAGAAAAACAAAGAGTGATCGCATGAGCGAATGAGTTTGTGTGTTAAACCTCTTACGAGGAAGCAAGCAGCGAAGGCTTCGGAAACAGGAGGGAAAAGAGGCAGAGAGAACAACCCACAGGGTCAATAGCGCTATTGAATTAAAGTGTAGAAGTGCAAAAGATTTGCCACTGAGAGCCAAGGAGAAGGGCACATTTTAGACATTATTGATTTTAAGTGAAAATAAATGCAATCAATGTATGCTTCAAAACAAAAACGAAATTAATCCACAGTTTTCAAGCAAATAAAAATACGATAAATGACCTCCATATGTGGGTGGAAACTTTACTTTTTGAGCCAGGGGTGTCAAACTTTTTTAGGTGAGAAGCATCACCTTGTGTAGGATGATTTATCATTATTATTATTATTATTATTATTATTATTATTATTATTATTATTATTATTATTATTATTATTATTATTACTATTATTATTATATTTGTTGGTTATACCTGCACAACAACTGCTGAAGTCTGAAAAAAGATCATGTTTTTAAAGCTTAGATGAAACTAATGTGAACACATTTTTATACAAATTAATTTTTTTAATGCCTTTAGATTAAATAAACATGAAATCATAACAACATCAATATAATACTGAAATCAGTATTTTAGCCAGTAAGGCAAGGCAAACTTTATTTATAGAGCAAAATTTTGTCCAACCATAGTTGATCCAAAGTGCTTTACAATGAGATAAAATATTAAGGAAAAAAAATAATACTTGTATTAAAAATGTAAGAAAAGGAAATATATATGTATATATGTGATACTAAAATACAGTATAGAAATTACATGTATGAGGCACTCAAAGGCAAGGGAGTAAAAATATGTCTTCAGGTTACATTTAAAAGTATCCAAGGATGGAGAAATCCTTCACTGTTCCATAGCCTTGGGGCTGCAACACAGAAAGATCACCTATTGATTTGCAGCGAGACCGAGGGATCGACAAAAGAAACTGATCATGGGACCTTATGGTCATGGGATCATGGGAGTATTTTAACAAACACCCATTATTTATATATCTAAAAATAATTTATTGGAGACACATGACTAGATTTTAACTTGATTAATGTTAGTTAATGTATTTACATTAACAAACAATCGGTAATACATTTATTACAGTATTTATTCATCCTTGTTAATGTTAATTAATGTTATTTAAGTTAAATAACGTTAGTTCATGTTAACTCATTGTGCAATTGCTAATGTTAAAAAGAACACACTCAAAAATAATAATGCATTAGTTAATGTTGAACTATGATAATAAATGCTTTACAATATTTTTCATACTTAAATAAATGAACTAACATTAACTAATAGACCACTATTGCAAAGTGTGACAGTTTAAACAGTATATATGTACATTTAAGTCAAAATTATTAGCCCCCCTGTTAATTTTTTCCCCAATTTCTGTTTAACGGAGAGAGGATTTTTTTCAACACATTTCTAAACATAATAGTTTTAATATCTTATTTCTAATAACTGATTTATTTTATCTTTGCCATGATGACAGTAAATAATATTTTGCTAGATATCATTCAACACCCTTCTATACAGCTTAAAGTGACATTTAAATGCTTACTGTAACTAGGTTAATTGAATTAACTAGAGGGGTTAGGGTAATTAGGCAAGTTTTTGTATGGTTTGTTCTGCAGAATATTGAACAAATACAGCTTAAAGGGGCTAATAATTTTGACCTTAAAATGTTTTTTTTTTTTTTTAACTGCTTTTATTTTAGCTGAAATAAAACAAATAAGACTTTCTCCAGAAGAAAAAAATGTCCTGAATCTGTTAACCATCATTTTGGAAATATTTAAAAAAGAAAAAAAAGAAAGTAAGACTTCAAATGTATGATTATCAACTCAAACCAAATGACTGAATCAGTGCTGTTCGTCATTGTAGTACTCCTATGCAATTAATCTTTGTGATTTTTAGCCAGACAAAGCAAAAATCTTCTGAATATTTAGCTGTTATCTATTTATTTTTATTGTATTTATTTATACAGGGACAATCTACAACACGCCATATGACAAGACACAATATACACTTACAGTACAATATATACAATACAATAAAATAAAAAATAAAAAAAATCAGTGGTTGCATATTTGATTTTCTTTAAGCCGAAGGACAGTTTAAAAATGATTAAAAGTGTCTCTCTCTAATATGCACTGGTGTATTATTCCATCTTTCAGCTGCTCTGACTGAAAAATTGATTGTCCAAAAACAGTTCTCTTCAGTTTCACTAAACAATCCCCACTAACCGATGACCTAGTCTGTCTTATATTGTCCTTGCAGACAACCACACATTGTTTGAGAGGTGGTGGTGCAAATATTCTATACATTAAACACACATCAGCATAAAATAAGAAATTGTCAATTGTTAGTATGTGTTCAAAACAGTTACCGTAATGATAACTCATTGGCTTTTTAGCCAACATTTTTACAGTTTGTTTATAAATAATAATGGTTTTAATGTTGTAATGTTCGTGTGGGACCAGCTTGTATCATAATAAGATAAATGAGAGAAAATCATTGTATTCATAAAAAGTTTAGCAGCAGCCATAGGTAACTGATGCTTGATATTTCTATAAATCCTTAGGCTTGTTCTAGCACTTTGGAAACCTTCGTAATGTGTTTTTTTAATATTTGAATTAGAGTCTATAATCATACCTAAATATTTTAAATGATAAACAATATTTACATTGAGGGTGTGACATGAACGTGTGTTTCTGACATGTTTTGCTAAATCAGTTTGTAATGCACATACTTCCAAATGTTTTGAGTCAGTGTGATATTTCATAAATAAATTAATACTGATTAATTCATCAGGAACTAACTTGAAGAAAATGTCAAATGTTTTTATTTTTGTTTTTTAGATAAATTATTTAGATAACTTGTATTCTTTTTAGCCTCCTATTTATAAAATTATTCAACTTATAAAATCAGCTTATAGGACTTTTTCACATACCACAAACTTGAATTTTAAGTGCTAAGGTGTACACATGCTGAAATTTAGCTTTTTAGCCATAGTTAAGGATTAAAAACAAAGCACACACAGATTGACTCACCCTGTGATGATAATCTCTGGATATGTCTGTGAACCGACTGTCCATGTGCCACCACTGACTGGCCATTCCTGAACAACATCACACAAACAATAATAAGAAACACATTTTTTTAACAACTCCAAAAATAAATAAATAAATTAATAAATTAATTAATTAATTAATAAGACTGCCATGCCAAAGAAAAGATGCAAAACACACAGATAATTTACAGTGTTCAGCATATATGAGTACACCCCTCACAAATCATTCATTTAAATGAATATTTTCTATAGGATGCTTTACAATATTATATTTGTGCATATACATTAGTTTTGTCAGTACTGAAGCCAAATCTGGAGCTAATCGAACAAAATTACTTACACTATTGGTTCAAAAATCAGTAGCCCAAATTTATATGTGAGGGAAAATATTAAATAACATTTTTTAAAATAGCAAAGATCAAGAGAAACAAAAAATACATCCAATTTTGATTAAATGTTGTAGTTTGTCATTTTTTTTTTGCAATATTTTCATTGAGTTTAAATGTAATATATTTCCATTTCTGAAGATGTTCTGTGATTAAACTATTATTTGAATAAATATATCTGTTTAATAAATTTGTTTTGTTTAAATGCAGCAATATATATTAACCATATTCACTGAGAAATGGACACAAATATTTATTTTCAAATGGGGTGTACTCATTTATGCTGATCACTGTAACTTCTTTAACAAGTCAATTTGCAGATTAGCGAACAACTGTGACAAACCTTGTGGCTGTAGCCAGTCTTTTTATGTTTGGCTCCTATAGAGTAAAGCACTGGGATGATGTCAGGAGGACAGTCGGCAAAGTAAGCCGTACACGTGACCGGAGACTCATGGACGTCCATAGGGTAAGGGTTCTCAAAGATAGGAAAACTGAAACAGAGAAACACTTTAACTAGGAAACATTTTTAAATCAGGAGATTTCTCTCTGTTATTTACAATAACTAGTGCTAACATAACCGACCTTTTACCCAAATAATTATGCCTAATAATTAATAAACACATAATAATAATAATAATAATAACTATTATTATTATTATTATTAAAAATAATGGTCATAATACTATTATTTTTAATAAATAGTATTATATTTATATTATATTTATATAATTATTTATTTATTTATTTATATTAACTGCATAAATGTTGGTAAGTTAATAATAATAATAATAATAATAATAATAATAATAATAATAATAATGTGACTATAATTGTTATTATTATTAATACATGTAAGTTCTAGTGTGTTTTATCATATTGATATTGGGCTGTAAGGAAATCATATGACAAAAAAATCATGACAACAAATGTTTTTATCTCACTGTAAGGTTTAATTGAACATTTTTAGTACGTTGGATTGATTTAAAGTTGAGATGACTAGAAAATGTTATTTGATTTAACTAAATTTAAGACAGTAAGATTTTTTTAATAAGTAATAAGCTCAAGTTTGTGTTCCAGTGGTTTTACCACATTTTCCAGTGTCTCTATGCTAAAATCAATGAAAAATACACAGTACAACCCTGAGAGTTTTGACTACATGACACCTTATTTACTTATAATATGCTTTTAATGGAGATGAACCAATGAGTCACATCACTTTTAATAAATGCACTTTAAAGTTCAAGTTTTAATGAAACGTCTGGATGATTGTCTGCATCTGAGTTTGTCTTGTCTGAGTGCAGCAGTTTGTGTGTTCCTTTACTGCGTCCTTGTAAAGAAACAGCCTTAAAGCAAAGAAAAACATTTAATGTCAAACTGGCAATGTCTCTATGGCAGGGGTGTTATTTAAAAAGTGACAAACGGCCAGTCGGTGCCCGTGTGCAAGTGTCAGGCTGACCTTGGCTTTTCTTCTTTGATAATGACTCACTTGATGGATGTTTATGAGTGACAACTCCAATGATATTTACCCTTAACCAATAAATACTCCCCCACACACACTCAGATTTAAACCCTTTTCCACAGAGCATCTTCAAGTAACGCACACACACACACACACACACACACACACACACACACACACACACACACACCACACACATCCACAATATTTATTGGGTGTTGAGCGATGTTGCCTCTGGTGGAAGTACAAGTGTGAGGTGTTGTTGGAGTACATCACATCGAGTTACATCATTCAGACACACACAAGGCAGAATGTGTGAGTGTGATAGTGGAAAGAAGAAGAAGAGATTGCTCACTTGCTCTGGGTCAGATCGACCACAACAAAATCTTTCTCCAGCAAAACCACCACTGCATACGGCTCCTGGACCTCTGTCAACACAAACACAACAAATCCAAATAAATAAAGACTACATAATACTGGATTCTATTCACATTAGTTAATTTAAAGGAGACGTGTGTATGTCTAACACTGGAGATTTAAACTTTCACTGTAAAGGCCAACACTATGGCGGAAATTAATTTTTTTGGCTAAAGTAAAAAAAATATATACATATATTTTAAAATATATAAAGAGAGACATTTTTTTTACATACTATTTTAGTTTGTGTGTTAAGATACAATTTTAGGTAAAGCATTTGTTGACTCTACTGCACACATTAGGATAGATCTCTAAAAAATATTGAACTGTTTTTCTTTTCTTCGAATGGTTTAACTTAAAGTGCTGTAAAAAAATTGGGGAAATTTTTTTAAGGTACTTAATGATATGTTGCCATACAGCAACAATGTCCAACAGTGGATCTGACTTTGTAAAAGTTATAAGAAATTGTTATAAGAAAGTTATAAGAAATTGTAAAAGTTATAGGTATTAATTTTGTTGTTTGAAATGTTGTTTGTTTTAATTGAATTGGTGTTGCAGTATTGCAAGCTTTAACACAGAACTTATAAATGACACCTTACTTTCCAACAACTTTTATTCCAACAGCTTTTATTTATTCCATTCTTTTTGCTGAATATTATGGAAAACAAGCATAATATTATTTTATCATGCATACAACACACAGTAGGTATAAATTTAAAGCTAAAAATGTTTATATATTATACTATATACAATATACTATACCTGAACTGTCACCATCACTGCTTTTATCAAATGTCCAATCTGCATCTTTCTCATGGTCACTAAAACCCTTCTTATCTTCACTTTCATCTGCAGGACGATTCATTTCTATCCTTTTCTTCTCTCACTTACCATAGAACATAATGGTCTTCACTAATACAATGTTCTCTGTATTTATATCCAATCAAAAGTAATGCCATTAAAATTTGATTTGTTTATCATAATTAATTTATGGAATAAATGGAATTTACCATAATTCAAATTCCATAAGCATATAACTAATAAACATTATATTACTAGCATTAATGTTGTTTCTGTTATAACTTAAAAGATCACAGCTGATCTTGCTAGCTAGCTAACCTATTGCTATATTGCACATTCCAGTATTGCACAGGGATGCCATTTTTGCCAACACATACATTTGATCGATTTACAAAAAACTAATTTGATAAAAACTTTTTTTTTTTGGAGTTGGAAAAATATCACCATAACTTACTGAAGATGATGTTTCAGATTTTTTGGTGGATATGACATGAGTTTATCCTGTTTTATTGACATTTTCATTTGCATTCAGCAACTACTCATAATAAACACCATGTCTATCAGAAATCGCACCACAGAAAAAACACTGCACACCATGTGACTTAACCAAAGCACATCATTTATTAAACCAAGGTCTTCTCTTTCCAACAACAAAAAAAAGGTTTTAAAGAATCAGTGACATGGAAATTAACATAAATATGTGGTAGACAAGGCAGTAAAACATCCTACATCAAGAGTCACATGTTTAATGAAAATGTTCATATAATTTCCATTGAAAAAAAAAAAAAAAAAATAAATAAATAAATAAATATATATATATATATATATATATATATATATATATATATATATATATATATATATTATATATATATATATATATATCTTCTTCATTTTTTCATCAGAATTTAACTGGAAAAATATACTGGTATTTATATTTAAAAGCTTTTTAAAAGCATGCAGTTCAGACCAATATGTCTCATATTCAGTGTGACTTATTTTATTAGCCTTTCGATATTTATTTGAGCATTTTGACCTGCATAATTTTTTTTCCCCCTGACTTTGACAGGATTTGATTGACGTAGGATGTCGTGGATATTCATAAATGGCTAATGGGCATCGGGATGCAAGATTTAATTGATTCTTTTTGCGCAGTGTGTCATAGTGCACGACAACCTATTCCATATCTGCAACACTTCGACAACAACACAGAAAGTCTAGCATGTTTATTTTTTTTTTCCTCAGCATCCATGATGGGTTTCATTATATGAGTGACATTAACCAATAGGTGGACAGAATTGTATCCATGCACAGCTTTTAAAATGGCAAATTGAAAGAAGACTATGCTTCTAGGTGAATATGAAATGGAAGAATTGTTGTGTAACCATGGCAACAGTATACACTTTCCTGTATGATTTGCTATCACTGGGCTACCATGACAGAACAAAAAAGCAAATGCTGGCAATCAATACACATGGCACTTCATTGGTCAGTTAGCAAATTAACTAGCAAATCCCTCATTATGTTCTCACTCGTAATAAATTAGTTTGAATTTTTAGAAATTTTTCTTTATGGGTAACCGACTGTCTACTGAAAGTTGCGTTGTCATTTTAATTTAAAGTGATGTTAGCGGTTGTGAGTGCAGGGCTACTCCGTTGCTGGGAAACCATATCTGTAGCTCCAAAAGTGACTCTTGCTGGCACAGAATGGATCTACTTATCTACTGTTTTCATTCAGAGAACACAAACACACACACATATAAAAACTGCCGTCTGTGGAAAACACCTAATACAATTATAGAGAGGTTTGTAATTTATGTGACTCCCTTGTTACATAATTCTCGACATAGACATCACGTAATGATTGAATGCAAAGCAACCGACAATAAAAATAATGTAGTCTGAACAGGGCTTGACTGCTTGAGATCTGCTTCAACAATGATAAACAGGTTACTAGCTGGTAACTAACCAATTGCTGATGATAATCTGGATTATGTAATCAGATGAAAACCTAAAATTATGTATCTGTTTTTAGATCATGGTCATATTAGATCACTTTTACTGTAATATTGATTACATGACGACACATTTGCATCATTGGTATGTCACATGACATACAGGTTGTCAAAATCACCAGAAATCCAGGCTTGTAGATCATTGGGAATCATTCACTTTCACTTAAGACTAGACTGCAAATCTGTCACCATATGGACTACAAATCCTGTCATGGACCACACACTCACACCTGTTCTGGTTTTCTGCTTATTGCAAACACAGACTGTCAAAGCTGTTTAAAAGTTATTACATGGGCTTTAAAAGCAGCACAGACACACACACAGTTGATGAGTATTGTTATACTATATGGTGACAGATTTGTAGTCCTGAGTGAAAGTGAATGGTGGGCAAAACAAGGCTTCATGAAACACTGAAACATTCGAAGCAAACTTGTCAAAGCTTTGAAACAATTTTGAAACCCAACTTTAAAGTGACACCTAGTGGTCATTTTATGTATTACTCTGGAACAGCATCAAGCAAAGAAACAGTTAAGCAAATTGAGGCATTGAACCCCACGTTGTAGAGTTGCTGCTTCAAGTGATGCAGAGATACAGTAATAGTTTCAAATCCAGGGTGATGCAGCTATAGATTAGGTTTTAAATGCTCTGTTTTTTGTAACGTGTTTTGTTTTAACATTGGGTTTACATTTGAATGAACACTTTTTGAATAAATATGTCTTGTTTTGGCTGTTGCAAGATCCGATATGGTTGCGGTTAATGAGACTTCCCATTTATTGTATTTTAAAAATGTCTACCCCCAACCCTAAACCCAATCATCACAGTACTGTAAACATATTAATTATTGTTATACAGTGTTACAAAAATTATGCTATATTGATGGCGTACCCACAGCTGTATCCTATATAGACTTAAAACAGTAACATTATTAAAATACATAAAATCATAATTTCTGATTATTTGTACAAATCAGGATTCGAACCCAAAAGCCAATTGCAGCACAATAACTTTGTGCACACACACGGTCCACTAAGTTATATGAGACAGAGTTTTATTATGACCCTTTTAGTTAATTGCTGATTCGTCAGGTCTCGAAACGCTTCTGAAATGACCGATGCTTTGAATCAATTTAGTCACATGACCAGGTGTTTTGAAACACTTTAGTTACGTGGCCTGTGTGTTTCAAATTACCTCAGTCACCTGACCTGGGTGTTTTGGATCATGCTTTGGTGCAGTGTTTCAAAACACCTGCACTTCAGCATCTTGACACTGTGTCGAAACGTCAGTTTCATGTCAGCCATTTATATTGCAAGCCTGAATTGCTGGTGATTGTGACACAGGTAAACCGTCTATTTAACTTTTAAGATTTAATAGTTTGTTTTCAGCAGCTATGAAACCTTTATGTAAAGTCTAATGCTCTCCATGTCGTCGAATGAATTAAATAATATATTTTCTTTCTGTTTTTTGAGTTTTCCCATCAATGTGGTACAAAACAAGCATACTCAAATCCACGTGACAAACATTTTAGGTCAAAAGTAATCAAAATGTATTCAGGTTAGACTAAAATGTGTTCTTTATTAGACTGCGTAACTAACAACTAATTACTAGCTAATTTTCATCATGCAATTTTTAATCAGTAAACAATTTGTACGTAATCAGCACTGCTTGCTTGTTCAGGAAATCTGTTTTAAATCTCATTATTTTTGCAATTCTCTTTATGCTGGTGGCGCAGAAATTACACTCTTTAGCTTTCATCTTTGTGGAGGAAAGCGGATGACAAGGTGACATCTTGAAACCTACGGGACGAAGGCATTAATTATGTGTGTGTTTTTGTGGAGAACAATTAAGCTCTGGCGACGCAGTGGAATCCTAATGACACATTATTCTCATGTCGCCACGTAGGGAAGATAGAGAGGAATGGAAGACCAAAATGGGTAACACCTGAAAGAACAATTCTGCTGCATCTGCGGGATGTTTGCAGTCTCTTTGCTGTTGTATTCTGGGTAACAAATTCAATGCCTGTGTGTACATGTGCTTGGCAGGGTGTTTTTCTGTTTCTGCTTCTCCAGAGGGAAAGAGACCAATATAGCGACTCTGTCTTTCACCTTGAGCGAACGGAGCCAAAGCCGTCACTCTTCAAACCGTTCAGAATCAATTTTTATATAGCACCTCGTCTTACTGATGTCGAGATGCGAAAAGGAGTTGCTCCTTTGAACTGGATGTTTTCAAAGGTTTGGCTTAATTCACAATGCATTACCAAAGATAAGAACTGGTAAGAATGTTTAGATTAATTTTGCACTCAACAAGCTTTATGAAATGCTACAATTTAAAATTAATCTAATGATTTATTTATTTATTTATTGTAACCCTTATGTACTGTTGGGGATGTTTTCATCCATTCATTCATTTTCTTGTCGGCTTAGCCCCTTTATTAATCCGGGGTCGGCACAGCGGAATGAACCGCCAACTTATCCAGCAAGTTTTTACGCAGCGGATGCCCTTCCAGCCGCAACCCATCTCTGGGAAACATCCACACACACATTCACACACTACGGACAATTGAGCCAACCTAATTCACCTGTAACGCATGTCTTTGGACTGTGGGGGAAACCGGAGCACCCAGAGGAAACCCACGCGAAGACAGGGAGAACATGCAAACTCCACACAGAAATGACAACTGAGCCGAGGTTTGAACCAGCAACCCAGCGACCTTCTTGCTTTGAGGTGACAGCCCTACCTGCCACTGCCTCACCTGTTTTCATCCACTCTGGGGTAATTTAGAGTATTAATTTGGCCATTACTTTTTCTGTTTCAGCTAGCAGAATGACAAATCTTGTTTTGGCACATATTTAGGGGAAATGCTTTTAAATTTTTTAAAGAACTCAACGATACATTCCGGACAAATTTACTACCATTTTGTTACATTCGGAATGAAAACATCCACTTAATTAAACTGCTGTAAAAATGCATCAGATCAATATTTTTTCACCAAATAAGCTTTGTTTTTTTTTTGTTTTTTTATCAAATCAGTTACATCATTTGTAAACTTGGCAATTAAAAAGTTAAAATCTTGTATTTTTTTTAAACATTTAGTAGACTTGATCAGGACTGAGGTAGAGTAACAGATTCATGCAAAACGTACAGCGGTTTAATTCAGTGGATGTTTTCATCCCGAACACAATTAAAGGGTAGTAAATTTGAACAGTGCTAAAGGGTTAGATAAAATATTTTTTTCAAAAGCTGACTTTACACAAGTCTTTAGTAACGCACATAATGCTTTATAAATCACGATTTAATGCTCAATATATTTTTAATAGCAAAAAAAAACAAAAAAATCATTTATTTTGTTCAACCGAATGCATCATTATTACATTATTGAATTAGTTATTATTAAACCATATTTATTGGAAAGAAAAATATATAACTGACATTTGAAACATGAGCTCTTCAAATATAGTCTTTGTTAAAATTATTTGCTTATTTATGTGACAAAATGCAATCAGGATTTGAACATATCTTATTTATTTAAAGGGGACCTATTATGCCTCTTTTAGGAGATATAATGTAAGGGGCCAATCACACCGAACGCACTTTTACTTTCCAAAATGCGAGGCGCACCTCATTGGCTTTTCTGTTGACAAGAAAAAAAGAAGTGTGGTACGCTTTTTTAATGTCGCTAGGCAATGACTGAATCAGCTGTGTAATGTGCGCGAGAGTTGCTGTTGATACTGGTATAATTTTAAAATTGATTAATACTATAATGTTTAAGATTTGTGATTGATACAGCACCAAATATCTCAAAACAGCAACTACTGTATAAGTCTTGACAACACAAACACCTCCACAGAAACCCTGCCTCTGCTTTTATTTGATTGAAGAATGAAAAAGACGCGACTGATGTAACAAGCTTTTTCCGCAAAGGGCAAAAACGCTAGGCGCAGCATGGCGCATAAGCAGCGATCGTGGACATAAGTAACTCATTCAAAAAAGGTGCCTCTCAACGCAAGAAGCATGTTTAGAGTGATCGGTGCCTATAAGTCTCTGATGTCTGTGTGTGAAGTTTCAGTTTAAAATACCACAAAGATAATGTTTTATAAGTCTTTGAAGCTGTACTTTTTGGGCTTTGATCCCAACTGTGCATTTTTAGTGACTGTCGCTTTAAGTTCAAATGAAATTGTATTCTTTTCAAAAGAGGGTATTTAATGGAGCTACAAATATATCAGCATAGTGGTAGACTTAATAACAAGACTAAGTTCCAATACTAATGAGGGTGAGATTGTCACTAATGGACGGGGCCTTCCTCCTATGATGACGTATACAAAGGGAGAATGTCAATCAAAGTGTTTTTGCAGGCTGTTTTTATCAAGTGTGATTATAAAAAATAGAATGAATTAATTCTTACTATTAGAGGCTGGCTATATTGACACTCTGACACCACTAAATTGGGATTAAACATCATATAAAAGGGAATTTTGCATAATAGGTCTCCTTTACACAATAAATATTACATTTCCAAATAAACAGCTAAATGTTTATTAGGATCAATTTAACAAATTCTCTTAAATGAATCTCCTCTCCACACTTGATATTTCTAAAACCATTCCCTATTTACAACATCAGATGTTGGCCACTTTGTAACTGCGTCTGACTTCACTCACCCTACACTCACTCACTATTTTATTTATACAACCGACTAATAGTTACTCTTTCTGTGATACAAAAAAAAAAAATATGGTGCTTGCTATTTATATCGGTATCTGATTTCATTCACTAACTTTCATTCACTCTTTGCAGATAGGTTGCTTATTTGATATCAGTGCAATCATTGAATTAAAGGTCTTTGATTTGCTGGCTTTCAGCCTAACTCTGCTTACTACTATTATAATATGTTTTGGATACTTTAGTTTTACCATGGGCATGATTTCTGTGGGAGTCCCATAGGATTTAATGAAGACTACAAATTGGTCACTACGTCATCAATCTACACCTTTGTTTGTTGCGGAATCCATGCCCCCTACCGGCAAAAATGACATTATATATCTTTAAAACCAACACTTGTGTTTACTGAATCTATTTAAATGTACTACCAAGCAGCACAAATGATATGAAGGACAGCAGGAGACATGCCTGATCTGCTCAGTAGACTCACCGTTGAGATAGGGTGTCTCACAGAGCACCATGAAGTCCACTATTGGATAGTCCATCTCTAACACTGTGATGGCTTTACCATGCATGATGGTTAGGGTTGGTCTCCGTCCTGCCTTATCATATGAAAGACCTCCAGAGAAGATGACAAAGGCTTCACTACTGGAAGATGGAATATACAAGAGCATTAATGGAAAAAGTCCTGTTTTCAGTCTGAACTGATTACTTTAACACAGCAAGACCTGAAAACATTCTAGATGGAAAGATTTTATGCTCCACAAAATAATTTTGATACTTCAAAACAATGCTAGCAAGGCATTGCTTCAATTTAAACCCCTTTCACAGCTCTAATATGCTCTCAATGCAAACAGGAAGAAAGAAAAGGAAGACAGACAACAATATAACCACCAAACTAATCAAAAATATCATTAAAACTGAGGCGGCCACTTATGACCACTTCTTTGAAAACAGCATAGAGGAAAAAAGCTAAAAAACAAGCAATCGAAGACGGAAGTTTATTAAAATGATGTTTTGCTGCTCATCTCCCAGGGAAAGCAGGCTTTATAAAAACAGGCAGTAGACTTTAATTGTTTTGTGACAAGATAAAACGACAGTAATGGTTCTCGAGTGGGACTTGGCACATCTGTCTGAAGCAAATAGAAGGATTAAATTAGTGTGCAACACTCTAGACTGCACTTTCCATAATTCATCAGCTGTTTATTAGTCTGTGAGGCTTGTTTTTGTTTGTTTTTGTCTTACCTGTTTCGGGAGGTCTTGTATTCTACCTTGAGAATAGGTTTACACGACTCTTTTCTACCATCTCTCTGAGTTTTGCCTAAAAAAAGAAAACAGACAGACAGAAGGTCTCACTTTTTTCACCTCAACGCTTCATACATTCATGTCCAGAACTTTTTGATTAAGAAAGCACTTCCCAGCGCGAGCATGTTCATCTTTATATAACCACTAAGCTCAAGGCCAGGACCCCAAACATAGCGGCAAAGACTGAGAGTGAATCATTTATTCCTGTCAAATCAAACTTGCACACAGACACACACACACACAAACTGCGAACCCACACACTGAATCATCCTCCATAATGAACACACCTGGTGAGGGGGTGTGTTTGCAGGTTACGTCAGAGTCAGGTTTCACTAATAGATAGTGAGTCATGGCTGAATGGGGTCTGTGTGTGTGGGGGTTTACTTAGTTAAACTCTGGGGTCAACTTTTTAAAACAGGCTAAGATTGTCAAAGCTTCCCGTTTGCAACGGGAAATGGCTTATAAAAGAGAAAATGGTTTTGGGGTGTGGATTAGAGTCAGTTTGTAGTATGTAATAGGCAGCTTAAAATGGAAATGTATCCCTAAAATACAACTGAAACCTTATTGGTTGATTTAATAATTACACCATTTAAAATATAACAAAATATACTATGGTATTACGGTGAGAATATGTTTGAGTCCATCCCTATTAATTTATCCTACAAAATAAAAGTACAATGCACATGACTAGGATATAATTACATATTATAGTTGTCAAATGTTTATGATTAAAATGTCCTTATTTAAAAGTTATTTTAATTTTTTTAGTACAATTAGGGTAGAAATACTGTGTAACTGTCCTTAAGTTTATTAAAGAGAAAATATTCATTAGAAAAGATTCAAATATTAATTTTAAACAATGTTTTTCACAATTACTATTACTATGCAAAAGAGTATTATGCTTTATGTGTTTACTCACCATGGGGGAAGGTGACTTGAAAAGGCTTTGCTGTGTTTCTCATATTCCACATGCTCAGACTGCCATCAGAATGACTGCACATGAACTGCCGCCCTTCGTGATGCCAGCTTACTGAATGAATGGCCTGGCAGAGAGAGACCAGAAGAAAAGCGATCATGACTGCACCAATGAACATTTTTAAATGATGGCCAGATCATTGTACAATTCATTTGTTTCCTCCTGTTCATTTATCTGTGCCTCTTTTGTGCCATTATACAACAAAGGAAGTAGGGAAGAAAATAAATGATATGTAATCAGAACTATTGAAAGTTGGCATGGGATCCATAACTCAACTGCAGCTCCGATTAGTCACATTTCAGCATTGATAATAATAGTAATAGTTTTTAAAATGTTTCTTGAAACTTCAAATCTCTATTTTAAAATGATTTCTGAAAGTAATCGATGAGTAGTATCAGAAAGTAATTGCTGCATAATATTCTGCTTTATTTTTACAAGTAATTTACAAATTAAACTATAATAAGCTACCCTCTTTAGATTTATTACTATTATGTTCCACTGCATAGTAATGTAAACATCTAAACAGCCATTCACATGGCAGCAATTCAACATTTTTAGGTATGTATGCATGGTCAAGAAGCTTTGCTAAAGTTCAATCTTAAAATCTAGATTGGGGAAAAACTGACATTTAAGTGAGTTGGTTGGGCCAGACAGGCTGGACTTATTTTTTTAATCTTTATAAAAAAGATGGACTACAAGGATTCTCATGGCCAAATGTCTCTGGGGTTTACATGAAAAAAGGAAATATTGAGTGGCAGTTCTAGAGGAGCTCTGAAGAGGAAAATGACCAGACAGGTTTTGGCGGATAAATAGGCAACAAATAATCAAATAAACACAGGTAGAGTATATATGAACACACAACATGTTCAAACTTGAAGCAGATGAGCTACAGCAACAGAAAAAGCCAATGCCACTCCTGACAGTTAAGAACAACACACTGGGCCCTATCATACACCTGGCGCAATGTAGTGCAGGGCACGGCGCAATAGTCTTTTGCTAGTTTCAGCTTGGTGCAAGAGTCGTTTTAAAGCGTTGAGCTACACTGTTTAAATAACAAATGCATTAGCGCTAATATGTTCGCCCATAGGCGTTCTTGTCTAAAAAGGAAGGCGTTCTGAGGCGCACTACTGGCGCGTTGCTATTTTGAAAAACTAAAATAGATTTTTAATTAGACCAAAACAAACCCGGTCTAAACTCCGCTTACACACTGCTTAATACGCACAAGAGAGCAATAGGCAAATATCTTTACATATGAAAAAAATTTAAATATTAAGGATATACATAGGATATAATAAGAATAGATATAGAATATAAATATAAAGGATTAAAATATTACAAAACATTATTTTCTAGCCTACATAAATATGAAAAATCACTACTTTTATGTCTTCTTCATCTCGAGAGGCTTTTTCAGTTCATTCATAACAATTTGCTTTTGTATAATGTTATTATTATTAGCAGTATTATTTATTATATCCATATTTATATTTGTTTTATTAAAAACAAGCTTAGATTTGCCCACCTGTCAGGTTTTTGACCATATGGGGCACAGCATGTGTTTTAGGATATAACTCAGGTTTTTGAACACACTTCATTATCATTGTTCATTTATTTGTTTGCTGGAAATTAGAACTGAATTTAGAAATAGTTTTGAAATGAATATATGCGCTTAACAAACGCAATTAATTATTTATAGACTGATGTATGTGTGTAAAGGTTTCCCTATCCAAGAGCGAAAGTGAAAGTAGATCCATTATCTCTCATTCTCACGCAGTAGATGCTCTGTTTAACAGTTTTCTGTTAAAAAAAAAAACTGTCAACTGTTAACTGTTTGCTACTGAAATATTCAGTTTTTCCACTAAGACTTACTTTACGTTCTGTAAATAGCGAATGCGCTTATGGCGCGACGCAGCTGGCTCTTACAGGGAATGGGAGATGAGACTCTAATTGGTTTATTCTCAAAACACACCTATATCTGATTAAGAAAATTAACTCAACACTTTTAGACCATGCGCCACGGCGCAAAGCGGATTTTCCCATCCTTAAATTAGCAAAAATGCATTCTGACACGCCCTGAAAGTGTTTGCGCCCTGCGTTTTGCGCTCCGCGCATGCACCGTCAAAATAGAGCCCACTGATTTTACAATTCTCAAAGGCTCATCAAAACCGATCAATAAAAATTGGGGAAAAGTTGCTAAAGCTGATGAAGTCTCCATTACTTTTGTGCAAAGTTTGAAAAGTTGGCTCAGAATCTGCTGTAAATTACATGAAAGTATAGATCTATGCTGTCTTGTATCAATAGTTCAGGCTGCTGGTGGTGTGATGGTGTGAGGATATTTTCTTGGCACACTCTGGTCCAACATTCTGTCAATACCTTTATGAACACAGTGTACCCATATTGTGATGGCAATATTCAGCAGGATATTGCACTATGTCTCCAATTTCAAATCATCTTCTTGAACATTATAGCAATATAGCTATGGTTCCATCCACCTATTTGTAGGTGCATTTTGGAATATTGCAGAAACACTGTTTATTGGACACACCAAGATGAGCATACAATTAGAAATAGTGCATAAACTACAATGGGAACACATTAACTGAATAAATTGGAAAAAAATGCATCAAAAAGTGAATTAATGGACACACCAGCAGACTGACCAGATTCATTATCATCTGAAATGTTGTTTTGGTCATTTTAAAATCCTTTAGCCAAAGTCCTTCATCAAAGAGGTTTGGTATTATTACCTTCCAGGCTTCGCTCCCAAAGAGTAGCCCACACATAAAAAGCCCCCGTGTTTCTTAAATATTTTATGCATTATTTCTGTTTTGTGCATAAGTCTAATATGCATCGTTGAAATGAAACATGTCTAACATGTTGACTAAACTCAAATGGCCTTCACAGCCACCAGATCTCATTCCAATAGAACACCTTTGAGATGTGGAGATTTCATCATTGATGTACAGCTGAAAACCTGAGGTAAATGTGTGAGGAAAGTTTCTAATAACTTGTTTAATCTGTGGCCTTAAAGAACTGAGCAAGGACTAAAGTCAAGAAAAATAATAATCAAATGAGTCTACAACTAGAAAGATTGAAATAGAAGCATGTGCATACACAATTTGGCTGCGGAAATGAAAGAAATCAGAGAGCAAAAGACATGACTAATAGTTCCTGTTTGTGAAAGTCTCTGTCTCTCTTACTCTCTCTCTCTTTCTTTCTCTCAGAGCTTCATCCATCTGAGAGTCGATAATCCAATATCAGTAATTACTCCACCATCAAAGCAGCCTGATCTCCACTCATCTACTTGCTAATGTCACACAGTAAATAACAAGTGAAATGATATTGGTGTCACAATTATTTGATGTTTGTAAGAAAGATCTTTGCAGTGTTTGAGCCTGATGTTCTATAATATTCAAGGACGAGCCGTGAAATCAACTGAAATTCAATCTAAAGGCGAATAATCAAACAAGATGCGATGGATGTCTGTTTTGCAGAAATGAATGAGAAGGAAAGAGATTTTTATATCAGCGCAAATCCATTCCTATATTTCTTTCAACAGTCTCACACAAATCCTTTTGCATATTTCGTCTCACTTTCTCCCGTCTTTTCTTTCTTCTTCTTCTTTTTTACTCCCTTGTTCAAAATCCTATGTATTAAAAGTGTCTTTCTTACACACACGTGTGAATACCAGGCGGGCATCTAAAGTAGCAATTAGCAGACCCCTAGACATTTCCATTTACCCACTCTGACAAACGCTTGCCGAGCGACGGTGTCTCAGAGTCCCTGCGCTCAGGCGGCGCTGACAGATGATCAGAGGGCGCCGTCACCGTATTGAAACACGCAGTAAAGGTTTGGAAGGAGAAAAGGGCGAGTTTCTGGAAGGTTTTGTGCGTGCTGCTGTGAGCCAAGGGGCACTGTGATTGAAACATGTTTTGGAAGGATGAATGCGAGCAGCTGGCTGCAGGAGTCAGCTCCCCTTTCAGAAGAAAGATAAAGTTGTGTGCCAAGCGGTGATTATGCTAAACACATCCACATGGTACAAGGAGAGAAATTAAATCACAACAGTGACTAGTGCACAGTGTTGTTATAAATCAGCAAAAGTGTGGAGGGAAAATGAGCTGAGGAGCCAGGTGTTTCATAGCAAATGTGCTTGGACAATAGAGTGCAAGAGAGACATAATTCATTTTTTTTATTTGTATAGCCTAGTTTTTCTGTCCTTTCTTCAAATTATTTCTGTTTGTCTTGTTTTTGGCTGAGGGCTGGATTTTAACAAGATGATAAATGGGAGCTTGAGGGGTCACAAATGCATGCACAAAGAGAGGTTGAGAACAACAACAGGAAAAAAGTATATATATAAATATAAAAATTAAATGTGTATGCACATAAACACATAATATAGATTATATAGCTAAGAAAGCCTGACAGAGAGGTGGTTAAAATATTACAGAGATAAAATAAAATAAAATAAAATAAAATAAAATAAAGTTAAATAAAATAAAATTAATTAAAAGAAAAGAAAAGAAAAGTAAAAGAAAGGTGAAATAAAGCCAAATAAAACTAAATAAAATAAAAGTAAACAAAAGTACACTAAAATAAAATAAAATGATATAAAATAGTGTTAAATAAAACATTTTAAAATTATAAAAAAATTAAAATTAAAATTATAATTTTAAAATTATAACAAAATTAAAGTAAAGTAAAATAAATTAAATAATAAAATAAAATAAAATAAAATAAAATAAAATAAAATAAAATAAAATAAAATAAAATAAAATAAAATAAAATAAAATAAAATAAAATTAAATTAAATTAAATTAAATTAAATTAAATTAAATTAAATCAAATAAAATAAAAATGACACTTACCTCGTCATAGTATATCCTAAAGTCAGCTCGTTTGGCCCTCAGATCCCACATTACTATCGTCCCACTCTCAAAACCTATCAGCAACTGAGGGAAATAAAAGAGAGAGGAGAGAAAGAAAGAAAAACAGGAGTCTATAAATCCCAACTGAACAACAATAAACAGTGGAAACTGATTCTAGAGGTGTGTTTTACAAATGTCAAGAGCCTTTTGTATATTTGGGTTCAGAGCAAAACAGACACACCGGTGATTGGGTGCATTTATAATTTAACTGGACATGATAGAGCAAGTGCTGATCAAAACAGACCCATGTTCTGTCTAGGGAATCTTCCCTCTTTCGCAGGCACAAGAAAAACATGTTAGGGGAAAAAAAGTCTGTATTTGGCTCATTTTCAATGCATGAGTATGAATACTTCAGCGATAAAAATAAAAAATAACAAAACATTTGCTCTTAATTTACTTATTCTCAGGTCATCCAAATACGTACAGTATTTGACTTTTTCTCTTTTTAAATCAAACCATGGTTTTTACTACTAATATAATGCAAGTCAATGGTAACCTTTTCTATGATGCTCAAAAAAAAGCTACATTTATGGTTCACATCTAACCTTGTTTGAGTCATCAAAGCCCTCAGTATAATATTCTAGTGTTCTACTGAAGGAAAATAATAACACACCACTATCTTGACTTTCCTTAAAGGTGATTAATTCACCAAAAAATAAAATAAATAAATAAAATAAATTGGGGGGTATGCACTTTTCTATTTAATCTAAATTAGCCACACACTACATGAAGTTCAATTTGAACTGGAATTATTTTATTGGTTGTTCCATTTATTCACATTCAATAAAAAAAAAAAAAGTCCATTAGTGATCGGCAGTTTTTCAGCAGCGCTGCTTTAATTGACTTTTTTTTTAAAGTGATTTTAAAGATGTCTTAAAGATAGCCATTAACCAAACCAACCAGCTATGATGTAAATCAAAATAATAAAAAACTCATTTTGGAAAAATACAATGCAAGATTGACAATTTAAAGTTAATTTAAAAATACAGTTTAATTATAAAATTAAGTTGTATCTTTTTCGCTTTCTGTATGAATTTCAGTAGTAAACATGACTAAAAAAATCTAAATTGCTGAAAACAGATGGGTTTTTCAAATACATATACAACAGGTCTGATTTTAAAGGATTGTCAGTTATGATTAAAAAAAAATCTATTTCTCTATGGAGAAAAATAAATAAATAATCTTGTGTGCTTGAAACTGAAATCCTGCACTCTATAACAAATTCAAATCATATAAATTAGATATCGGACTGTCTCCACTTCTCATATTGTCTGTGCTACAGCATATTTTGTTCTGTCTCCTTTTCCAAAAACCTTATCGGTCCCGCTAGCTCATCCGTATCAATTCCCACAATGCATCTGACCTGCTGTGACTCCAGCAGCATGCAGCCACAGCAATCCTGCCAGATTCTTTTTCTGGAAGATGACCTCACGGTATCTACTCCAAAATGCCATGCCTCCTCCCGGAGATAGGAGATAACAAAGAGACGCCTTAAAGGTACAGCTCACCCCCCAAAAAATGAACATTTTATCACTCTCCTCCATTCTGAGCACATATTATAATATTTCTTCAGGGAAATCCAAAGCGAGGTGTCAGGTAGAAAATTCAAGCTGTTCTTCTTCATACAATAAACAAGTGGATGGTAAATTATTCCGTCAAACTCCAAACGGCCTCTTGTATGGCTTTAGAAGACTTGTTTCTTATAAATTGTCTTTTGTAGTATTAAAAATCAATTTGTATTTTAAAAATCACTGTCAAAATCACATCAGTAAAAATCACTAAGCATTTTCATTTTGAATATGCATTTCATGCTCAGACTTTTTTATCTTTTTATTTTCAACAGAAAAATAAAATTCAAACAATATCAAAACAACATGGCTGAGGCCCACACTAATACACTTTAGTTTTAAAACGGTTTTATAGAATGTAAATGATCCACATCCACACTGGCGTTTCACCTAACATTTTTAAAAGTGTCTCTGTCCACATTACACCACTGAACATGCACATTATGTGATCACACACACACAATGCAGCGTATGCGGAGGTCTGGGCTCCAGGTAGTCAACGGGTGCTTTAAGCACACCTCCCCAGGTGAGAGCAGCTGATATTTAACTCATCTTGTCTCTATTTTATGACTTTTTCTTTTTAATCTTTTACTTGTTCTCAGGTAACAAGTTTTGGCTGAGCACAAAGTTGAATTAATATAGGGTGATCCAAAATGATTAATAAAACTTTAAAATTCGAGAACTCTGCAAAGAAGAAAATGAGAGCTAGTAAACTCTTTCTGTCGTTGATTTAAGGAAGCTCTGAAGTTTCATTTGGTTGCTCATTTGGTCGCTAGGAGAAGTGCTGTTGAACTATAACCTACATTTCTGTTGCTAATGCAAAGATGGCGACTGCTCCACAAAAAGCTGTTTGTGTTTTCGAGTATTGGGTTAATGTCAGTCGAATGTCTGGAGGGGGTCATATTGAACAACTATGAACTTGTTTTCTACTGATTTTTTATTTATTTATTTTAAGTACTGTACTCTTCACATTGATTAATTACCCAAGTTTCCTTCATGTTTCTCAGATTAAATGCAGACTTTCAAAGTTATGGTATTCTTTTTGAATCACCCTGTTTATTATTTAACCATATACACTGATTCTGCACATTTGATTGATTGCTTGCCTTTATTTCCTAAATTGTATGAATTTATTCTACGTTATACTTTCATAATTGTCAGCATTGATTATTGAAAGATAAAAGAGAGGGCATGTTTCGTATTTTTCAATGAAAATAAAGGGACGCAGTAATGTTATAGGCTCCATTTTGGTTTTAAATATGCATACATGAAGATGACGCTCAAAAAAATTTGTAGCAACACGAGAAACAAAAACTAATTCTTCTGCTTTCCAAAAATGCTCCACTTTCGGGGCTCGAAAACTCCAGGATAGTGAGGACGGAACTCATAACTGTAACAAAAATTTTGTATTTTCAAAACTAAAATGTATTGGTGTAAACGGGGCCCGAGTGCATGATAAAAAACATATATTCTGAGCTATTCCTTTTTTTAAAAAGTGAATGTGTGTGTTTGTGAGTAAGAGAGATGCATGCATACTCAATAGAAGATGTTAACACCAGCCGTCGAGGTGAATATCAGGTCACATAACAAGTATGTGCGTGCGTGTGTTTCCCCTGATGAGTGTTAATGAATCAGAACACTGCCAACGCATGCAAAGTACCTTTTAAGAAGAACTCCAGCATGCATACAAAATAACCAATGTATTATTTTCATAGTGGAAAGGCTATCAAGCACACTAGTTCTTAGTTTTCTGAAAAGTTCTGAGCTCTTGATTTTGAAACAAAAGAACAAAAAAAAAAATGTATTCCTTACTTTCCCTTCATCCTTTGGACTGTCACTCAGGTGAACAACAGGACCTGGATGCGTCTTTGTTGATCTGAGAGGAAGACAGAATAAAAAAGATAACAGGATGAAAAAAATGACACTTTCTCTGTGCTTGTGGGCTTATAGTTACTGTCTGTCAGCTCTGAGGTCATCTAAATGCTAACATGCTCATAAAAGTTGACAAACTTTTAATAGATGTATCCTGTCCAGTGGTGCGTTTGTCAGTTTTTGTCTATATGTCACATACTAGCAATAACACATGGCACATTGTGTTTTAGCTATGATTTTTTATGCTAAAATATACTGGCACACAAGTAAAAAGAAAAACAAAGCAAGACAAGAAAGAGATCTTCTGGATATGCCCAGTAAAACCTTCTGTCTTAACAGGAAATACATCAAGACCAAAACACATCTCATCCATCATACAATTTTATGTGGCCTTTATTGGATAATAATATAAAAAGCCAATTCAATAACAATCATGTCTCTGGTTTTGAAGTAGTCTCTGCCTCTTAGCCAGATAAAAAAAATAATAATAATAAAATAAAAATAAATAAATAAATAAATAAAAATAAATGAATAAATAAAAAAATAAATCAATCAATAAATAAAATAACATAAAATAAAAATAAACAAAATAAATAAATTAATAATTTAAAATACAGATAAAAATTAAGATTTAAATTTATAAAAATATAAATAAATAAATAAATAAATAAATAAATAAATAAATAAATAAATAAATAAATAAATAAATAAAATAAAAATTCTGTAAAGCAAAAATTGTAACAAAAAAAGAAAGTAAGAAAGACATGAGACATGACACATTATATCCAAATATTGAATACTGGTTGCACTAAATATAATTAAATGTTTAAACAAATGTATAAACACGCATTTTAGCTCCACTCACTTATGTTTTTGCTCTAAAAGCTCCTTTAAAACGTAAATCAGAGCACCTTTCATTAGATCAACAATGCAGTTTATGGAATAATCTGTTAAAATACATTAGATAAAATTAAGAAGACTGCAAAAAAAGATGATTTCGAAGGAAGCTTAGTCAGAATACAGGTTAGTGGTAAATGTCAGAAAGTTTTGAAAGAGTTTTCAGCAGAATTGGACACATCAAGGTCTTCTTTTCAGCAGTATTTCAAAGACGAAGAGCGACAGGTTGGAAAATGTGCTCTGACAACCTCCACTGAAATGACTTCCCTGGTATTGTGTGAGGATGTGCCAAGTACAAGTGAGATAGAAAAATAGTAAAAGTGACGGTCAGAGGGAGAAGAATACAATTGGATTTTATACACACACAGATGCCATGCCAATTTAATTCAATCCTTAGAGGACGATTGGGACTAAAAACTGGCCTTGGACTTCAGGCACAAACAGTCCATAACACCTGCAAACTCCACATTACTCCACAACCCACTGATGCACAGTTTTTAGCATTACTTACTAACATAAAAATACAATGTAGTCAGAGTCGCATCACTACTATAAACAACAAGGTCAAATCTCTTTTTTTTCTCTTAATAATTGATGTTTTGGTGCTACTCACTTGCACTCAATTACAAATTATATTGTTTATCGTTGGGAAGTTATATTCGTGACCATATTAGAAAAGAAATATTATTTCACATTTAAAGAATTAAAATATTGTGGCATTTTATTTATTGTACAATCATCTGTAAATTATTTAATTTATAATTAAAGTTAACAACACTTTGTTTTGTGACATTACACTGATTAAAACAAATTTTCTGCTGTAAAATAAAAAAAAAATAATATTGCAATCTCTTTTTCCAGTAATGGGTTGTGGCTGGAAGGGCATTCGATGCGTAAAACATATGCTGGAATAGTTGGTGGTTTATTCCGCTGTGGTGACCCTGATAAAGGACCAAGCCAAAGGAAAACAAATGAATGAATAATACATAAATAAATTTGTTTGTGGAAAAAAAGCTTATTAGAAAAGCTATTAGTATGTGATTCAAACTTGTTGAAAATAAAGCTTGCACTTATTTTACTTGGAATTGTAAGCTTCAAATAACAGCAAATAACTGCTAAAGTTGATTGCTTTACTTACTAGTTAAGCTGATTTGATAAAAATCATAGTGCAAACTGTGTAAATTAAAAATAAAGTGCATCTTTTCAGTGCAGGTAACAATGTACAGTAGGTCCCTTTTGTGCTAATCTAGTCACACATTCTGGAGTATAGGTCTACTGAAATGTAATCTCACTCCAAAACTTAAGAGGTTCAATGAAGTTATTATTAAAATGTCAAAGCTGTTTATTTTTTTCATAGAACATGTTGTAATGAGTGGTCGTCAAATTCAAGTTGCATTTGTGCTTGGATTATTAAAAAACAAGTTATATTAGGTTGGGATTTGAACTTTGGAACGATACATGAAAACTGTACCATGAGACTTACATGTCTTCCTTATATATTGAATTTGAGATGAATAGACACAAGTGAGGCTAGTATGCTATAGTGCCCCCCCCCCCCCACACACACACACACAAACACACACACACACACACACACACGCACACGCACACGCACACGCACACGCACACACAGCTATCTGTAAGAGGGCTGATTGTTACACTTTACAGCCAGTATATTCTCTCCTTCTTACTCAACCCTTGTCTGCTGTAAATGTTATTGGACTAGGAATTACAGAGATGCTAGCAAAAGCAAGAGTATCCCATAATGCCTCCAGCCATAAGTTTGTTGCCATAGCAGCAATGAAACTCATTTATTCACTTAATCAATTGCAGTGCAAAGGAAAATAACAGAGCATAAAAAAACCCTGAGTATTTGTGTAGCATAGATGATCTTTCATTTAAGGCTTGCGCATATTCATGTATTCATTTTCTTCCGGCTTAGTCTCTTTATTCATCAGGGGTCGCCACAGCGGAATGAACCGCCAACTAATCCAGCATATGTTTTACGCAGCAGATATCCTTCCAGCTGCAACCCAGTACTGGGAAACATACACACTCATACACTATGACCAATTTAGTTTATTCAATTTACCTGTAGTGCATGTCTTTGGACTGAGCGAAACAGGAGCATCTAGAGAAAACCCACAACCCACACCAGCCACCTTATTGCTGTGATGTGACAGTACTCACCACATGAGTCATCATGTCACCCTCTGTTTGTATATGCATATATGTTGTGTAGTTTTACCACACTATATGACATCTCTTTGCATGAGAATAGTTTTTGTTTACTGTCTTTTGTTCAAACTACAATAATTTACAACACAGCCCAATATTAAGAGTCATTAAAAAGTGTAAATCAGTCAACAAACCGTACAAACAAAGGCTGGAATCTGTCTACTCTTCTGTAAAAATGTAGTTTTGCATGTTTCACTGCAGTTTCATTGTTAAATGAACATTAGGAGAAATTATTTTTAAGACAAAATATTTTATAGTGACAGATTAGCAGCGAATATAGCTTTACTTTTGTGTAGTTCTTTGCAAAATACCATTGTTGGGATGAAGCTCGCCTCAGAACTTCCCGAGGGTAAAAACTATAAGATATACACAGACAACTACACCTGTGCTTTTCAGATAAAAAATAAACACATTTAAACCACACTGAATATGACCAAATATTTTTTTAAAATATTTTTATTAATTCTATATTATTATATTAATTTTATGAATTCTTATCCATAAAACATAAGATTGTTGTATGATTATTACTTATGATAGATTCCGCTATGGGGCTAAGTGAGTGAATAACCTTACAACTGTATCCTTAAATGCTCTGTATACCTGTTCAGACAAAGTGAGTACAAATACAGAAATTCTGCTCACAACTAGGCCCAACGTTGCAATATTACAACACTTCCCTAAAAACTTACCAAAATGTAAAAAAAAAAAATTGAGAAATCTTTGATTCCAACATCAGAGGCTTTTGCTCATGTATTTCTATATTTGGGTCTTACAGGGTTAAGCTCTTAAAACACTTTGACAAATTGTATTTGCTTTACATTTCTTTCTCCATTTGGATGACTCTTCTATAGTTTGTGTGGTCGCTTACAATACAAGGCACAGCATTGGATTTGTTTTGCAGAGAGCTCCTGAGAGAGATAGCTCAAAGCAGTGTAAAACAAGTTAAAATGCCATTGTTGTTTTAACAGAAGTGTTTTGTGTGTGTGTGTGTGTGGGGGGGGGGGCACTATAGCATACTAGCATAACATTTGCTCCTGTTAACATTATTAATAAGGTTTAGGGTTTGAATTTATGTATGTGAAGTATACAAAAAACTATAGCCTCTTGTTAAAATAAAAATACGCATGGACATGAGGTTCTGGGTTTTATTAGGGTGACCACATATTCCATTTTTCCATGTACAGTCCAGTATTTTTTGCTCTATTTTTAGTGCATCAGAGTCAGTGACAGCAAAGGCAGAAGTGATCAAGTCATATGCAATAGAGATTTACAATAGCAATATAAAAACCATTAATGATTATTAGAATGTATGTTGAAAGAAACAACTTCCTTAGACGTCTCAAATCACAGAATCTGTGTTTCAGCCACAGAATGTCAATAAAATGTCTTTAAAATTATGTCACAGAATAGGTTTTGCTTATCTCAAGAAAGTAATTAAAATGCCTTACATGTTTATCTATCCTATATTCTCTACCAGTAATCTGGACATTCTAGGTCAGAGTTCTCAAAGGCTCAATTCAAAGGTCTAAAACTGAATTGTCATTATTGTCAAAGGTCTAAAAAAATTGTTAAAACAATACTGGTGTTTTATAAACATGAATATACTGTTCATAAATCAACAATTAAATAAATAAATAAATAGGTAGTTCAGTAGGTAGACCAAATGTAACATGATGCACACTACAGAGCAGTTTAATGTGAGAAACAGCACCAATTCTATCAGCTTATTAAACTTTTGCTTCCATTCCATAATTGTATCATTACAAATCAAACAGAACTGGGCTGAAACTAAATAATTGCATACTCTTATTTTCTTTGTCAATTCCCTGCAGTGAACAGTGTTGCCTGATTACGGTGATTGTCATA